TCATCCATAGTGCTGTTCTAGGTTCACACCCTGCCTGCCTCCAAGAAGAAAGGAGATGTTACTTGCTGTTGCATAATATTCCTTGTTTTCAGAGAAAGGTAGTTGATTTCACATATGCTAGGCAGAGAGCTGTGCTTGAGAAGTTTTAGTGCAATTCAGAAAGGAGGCCTCATGGCAGATCTTTGGCCAGTCAGAATCTGTAGCTTCTCTAGCTGGTGCCTGACAGTTCTGAGTGTCCATTTCATCACTTACTCCCAGCTGCTTTAAAACACTTTGTTGTTATATAAGAAACACAATACGCTCCTTTTCTGACAATACTACTGTAACTGAGAAGGCCTAAGCACACCCTGGCTCCTGCCATCTGGTCTTCTGAAGCTGTGTGTGAGGAACTCTGAGAGGCCCCTGGAGTTTGGCAGCTGCCAGTCAGTGCCCCAGGAAGGTGCGTGCTGTCTGCTGGATCCATGATTATTGCGCTCTTTTGGAGGCCTCCCCCCCCCGTCCCAGCAGGTTTAATTATGTCCAGCTTCTGTGACCATGAGAAGAGTGGCTCAGGTGTTCTCTGTGGCTGGATTTGGAAGACCATGTTTGTCTTTTGTCATCTAAATGATCAGATACATCTGTACAACGTTATGTAGAATGTCCTGCTGCATCTTTAAATGTCTGCAGAACCTTAGCCTTTGCTCTTTGATGCCTTGTGGTGTTCATGGGCTTTTATTCCATCTCTCATGCGGGCTGAGCTCAACAGTTACATCATTCTGGCTTTCTTGGCTTGCTCTTCTGTGTTCTGGACTTAGCTTGCTGCTGTCTGTTGGGCTGTTGCCCTTTTCCATGCTGACTCTGCATTGGAAAGTGACTGTCCTGGGACAGTGTATGCTGTCTTTCATAGTGCCTGCCCTTTGTGGGTGTTTCAGAGCAAGATTTTTCTTCTGTGCTGGACCTGCTGTCCCCAAGCCTGGGCCTTTGCTGTGGGCTCCTCTTTTCCTGCCAGGTGGAACATGAGTGGCTGCCCAGTGTGTGCAGCTCATTCCTTGGCCGTGGCGCCTCATGGAGCACGTGTCTTCATCCTCTCACCCCCACCCCGACTCCCACGAATTCTGTCTGTTCAGTTGGGTCAGTTAACACTTACCTGTGCTTTTTCTCTCCTAAAAGTTGACTGGCTTATTTTTTGTGCCCTGCATCTTCTGTGTCTTTTCTTCTCCTGGGTTTACAACATTTATTTCTTTTGCACTTACTTGGAAGCAACATAGAGTAGCTTGTTTTGTGTGGTCTGAGAACATTTGTTGCATGTGAATATCTTTCAAGTTTGACTTGGCCTCCTAGTCAAAATCACGTTCCTTGGGCTGCATTTGCTATCCCACATGAAAGAAGGAGGCTTGGTTGTCTTGTCTGCTAGGGCTCCCAACCGTGAATGCTGGGCAGTGCTGAGCAGCTGTCTGGGAGGGTCCCTGTGCCAGGCACCAAGGCCTGCCTGCCAGGATGGCTGTTGTCTTCCTTGCTTGCTGTGGTTCTTTCATCAGAACTAATAGTTGGGTTATCAGTTGATTCCTTAACTAGCTGCTGATTTTAGATCTCTACTCTGTTTTGGGGATACATAGAACCAGAGGACCGGAGTTGATCCCCAAGTCATTTAATAATATTTAAGCATTGACTTTTGTGGCACAAAAGCCTACTTTTCTTTAAACAACAACAAATTTATTTCAAGATAAAATGTTTTGGTTTTAAATAAAAACATTTATTTATTTATTTATTTGGCAGGACTGGGAGTTGAACTCAGGTCCTTGCACTTGCCAGGAAAGCACTTACTGTACTGAACCATCTCCCTGGCCCTTTAAGAGAAAATGTTACTTGGAAGTTAGATGAAGGCAAACAGATTTGAACTCATGAAATGAAAGTTGTGACTTTCACTTTGCAATGAAACTGGTCCTCTAGGGGAGCAGGGACCAACAGTCTTCTTAAATGGGCAGTTATTAAAAGTGTTTTCTACTTGCCTTTCCTGGTTGTCTGAGTTTGGAGACTGCTAACATTGCTGTGATTTTGTTTTTCATAGAAAATGCATCTACATGTGATAACGCAGTGTATATCATAGATACGTCTTGGTATGAGCCCCCACAACCCTCATATACTTTTCTGCTTTCTGTTTGTGACACCCTTTTCCTTTCAGAGCTGCATAAGAACATTGTGCAGAGTTCTAGGAAGCTGGACCCAATGGTCTTGTTTATGGAAACCGGGAAATATGTGGAAATTGTTATAGTTACTTGTGTGCATCAAGAAATTGCTTCTAGTTTGTATTAACAGTTTGCCACATGCAGTGTCAGTAATGCACAAGGAAACAGTGCAGTGAAGAACTTCAGGTGGGACATCTCTCACTGGAGAAATCGACCCCTCTCTTGGTGACAACTGTCTTACATGCAGTGGAAATCATGAAGTCATGGACAGGCCAGGATATGGGCAGGCTGCTTCAGAAAGTGACAAGAGGCTGAAAGATCTGTGTGGCAGAGCCTATGGTGACTTTTTATGAGATGAGAGCCTTTTGTCTGTTGATGTGCCACTATGTGGCACTGTGATTCTTGGCCTCTGCCCATTAGGCATATCTGCTGCTGGTGCACGCACAGATTTGTCTGTGGGCCTTGGAAGAAACCTGTGTGGTGCCCTTGCCTGGCCAAGAGCATCACGACACAGGTGAGGAAGTTTCTCTATGGTGTCTTCTATCATTGCTGCTGAAGTGAACCCGTGATCCAGGAATTGGTGCTATGGCTTTCTTTCAGCGTTGTACCACTTTTAAAAGTGCCCCTAAGTATTCATATTTTTTTAGAATTTTCCTCCTGTATTTATGTCACAAGTTACAAGATAAAAAAATCTCCTGCCTTTTATATGGTGGGTCATAATGTGGTGGACTTCATCCAGTGCCTGCTTCAGGACTCCCAGATGTACTGCAGAGCTTATTGTGATACCTCTGGGAGTAGGTAGTATAGAATTTACCTGGAGTGCACAGGAAGAGTACAGAGGCTATGGGGCTGTGGATGAGGCACTCAGTGTGTCTGCTCAACTTCTAAACCTCTGGTTCCAGGTATTCCTGTGGCTGTTGTTGACCCTGGCCTGTGGTGGCAGTGACCCTTACCTGCTCACTCATTTGCTTCTACCTTCCTGCCCTCTCTCAAAAGCCTTTCTCGTTGTGCCACAGTGCCTGTTGGGTACAGCCACTAGTCAGTGGACTTGCTTGTGGGGTGCTGCCTGCCCTGTGCTTCAGGAGGCCTCATCACCCTCCCGCTTAGCTCTTTAGGCTCCCTGTGCCATCTTGTCTGTGTCCACTGTCTGTTAGTGTTTTCTCGTTGCTGGAACAAAATATCTGACACCCAAAATTAAGGAAGAAAAGGTTTATTTAGTTCACAGTTAGTGGAGGTTTCAGTCCATACTCAGCTAGCTCCAAGGCAGAGTGGCACATGGCATAGGGCAGCCTTTCAGGGCAGCAGAAAACAGCAAAAAGCAAAGGGAGAAACAGTAGCTGTGGCAGCTAGCTAGCCTGTCTCCCTTCCTTACATTTGTATGCAGATTATCTGCCCCAGGGCGGTATAGCACACACACCCTTAATTCCAGCATTGGATCCTGAATTAATCACAAACTCTGAAAGCCACCCCATGACTGCATGAGGCTTTGGGGGATACCTAGACGCAAACCAAACACCTGCTTACAGTTTTCTGTTAAATAAGATGGAGGTCTGTGACATGGTCAGGTGGCCATCAGGAATTAGAAGCATGTTGTCAAGGCTATTTGCTGATCTTCAGAGGGAAAAGTTTAGAATAGATTGGACTTGTGGAGGGGGGCATAGTTAAGTGAGAATGCTTGCTAGTCATCTTAGAAACCACATGCTGTTAGGGATCTGGGATGCTGGGATCTTTGATAATAGGGAGGGTGAGGCTGTGAGAGGGTGGGCCAGCCCAGACTTTGGTCAGGCAAGCCACGTGATCTTGAGTGGGTTGCTGCCATGTGATGGCGTCTTCCCCTGCTGAACATAGGGCAGCAGGGTACTACCTTGCAGGGTTACTAAGGACATAAGATGTGCATTTGTGGTGTTTCACACAGCACTGGGCTCTTACTACATGCTTATATTATCACCTTTAGTGATTTCCGAATATGTTAAAAATACATGCAAGCATATATGAATATGCAAATGCTCAAACATTCTACCACATACATGGTGCATGCCCATTTACTTTCAAGTGCACACTCAAGATACTTGTACACATTGCAGGTGCATGCTCACACACTCTTGTGTCAACATTTATGTGCATCTACATACATATTTATAAGCTTTTTACATAATTCACATACACGGTGAACACACTCATGAACACACACTCAAGCACATATTCATAGACATGCATGCCCGCGTTTGCATTCTCTGGTGAGATTATTGAGTCCTGAAGGTAGTATCTTCACTTGTGAGAATATGCCTCATTTCTTTTTCTGAGGTCTTTCCAGACGCTCTGTAGTCACATATTATTTTTTTATAATTAGAGAACAATCTCCTAGATTATTTTTTTTAAATGTTTATTTATTTATTTATTTATTTATTTTGTGTGTGTGTGTGTGTGTGTGTGTGGCCAGCTCAGCCCACCAGGGGGCGGGGCTGGCTGGCATGTGGTGCTGGGGGATTGAACCGTGGTCCCTGTGTTTTGCTTAGCTTAGCTTGTTCTAAGTAGGTGCTTTAGACCACTGAGCCATCTCACCAGCCCCCCATCTCCTAGATTATTGAAGAAGATTCTAGGAAAGTCTGAATCTTTCCTAATGGATTTATAGTATTGAAAATGTAGAAGAAATTAGAAATAAAAATAGTGGGAACCATAACAGTGGCTGGTTCCTAGAATCTGTTAAACAGAACACATGGGTTTAGATTTTTTGGCCTTTGTCTTTGTCTATTCTGTAGGTGCCCAGGCCATAGGGATTGCGGAGTAGCTCTATGATGGTTGTGTGCCCTGACCCTGTGTGTTTTTCCTCTCCAGGTCGTGCACACGCACAAGCCACACTTCATGGCCTTGCACTGCCAGGAGTTTGGAGGGAAGAACTACGAGGCCTCCATGTCCCATGTGGATAAGTTTGTCAAGTAAGTCTCAGGGCAGGTGCCAGAGGGCAGTGGTATAGATCTGTGAATGGGAGTGTGGTCCCTACCTTTGCCATTGAGATTCATCTGTGGATTGGGTCACCTTGGGGAGCTATAATTTTCCACAGAGAAAAGGCCTGGCTCAGACATGTATTAGTCACTTGCCTCCATAAAAGCAAGCATCTGTGGACTCAGGCTAGAGGATGCAGTCTTAGGGACCTGTCAGAACAGTACCTGTAACTGTGTCAGCATTCTGCCTTGCATGACTGGATGCTGGCCAGCCTGCTATGGTGGATAACAGGCAGGTCTGGTGTCCATGCAGCGGCATCCATTGTAGTGAGGTTGGCAGTCTAAGGTGAAATTTACAGCATTCAGGAAGAAAGAGCCATATATATGCATGGTGCCAGCTGTTACACATATCCCTGTGGTTCCTTAGATGACAGGTCTGTCTGGGTCTTGCCTGAGAAGAGGTACCTGGCCTTCTAGCTGGTTCTGGGACATGGACCTGTAAAGGTCCAGAGGGAAGCAGGTGCCCAGCTCTGCGTGCTTGTGCCCAAAAGTGGGGACTATGTCCACTATCTTCTTTTTCCTTTTCTGAATTTGGGCCCTGAGATCTGGAAGCCTTTGTCTTCTATTAGACACTGTTGCCTTCATTTTGCCTTTCTCAGGTCTTATTTCTGCAAACTTCTTGGTCATGACCTAATTCTCTTATTAGGAGGGAGGAACTGGCTGGTCAGAGAATTCTCAGTGTAATTTCTCATGGGGAAATGGACTGAGGTTCTAGAAGGATGGTGAAACTATATTAGGCTTACATCAGAATCATTTGTTCTTCTGTGGTAGGGCTCTAGCTCACAGCTCTGATCATATCCAGCGTCTCACAGTGCTCCAGAAAGAAGCATTGGCAAAGGCGTGCTGGGACAAGGTTCTGAGTGTACAGCTCTGGTGTCTGTCCCCATCATGCACAAGGTGCTCTCCTGGGGATCTTTGATGTCCCTGCAACCCACCCCTGGCTGCCATGTGTTCTTACTCTTCACGTCCTATCAATAGCCTTCATAAGCTTGACTGGAGCAAGACACACTGCTACTAAGGCTCAGTTGCTCTTGTTGATGAGGAACATGCTTTGTAAGACCCTATGTCCATAGAAGGACACTGGGGCCAATGTGTTACAACTTGGAATTTTCTCACAAACACATTACAATATCTGGAACAACCTTACAATATTTGTGCAAGGGATTGGCAGGTGATCCTGGATAGTTGTACACACCCTCTGCAACTGTTTCAGTCTTTCTTTCTGTCCTCCCTGCCCTATAAGTACATGCTGTAGCCATGTGCAGGTGTGTGGCTTTCCTGGCTGGGCACAGGGCTGAGAGCATGGCTGCAGTATGTTCAGCGCTGAGGGTGTTCTCAGCTCCTGCTAAATCTGTCTTTCCCTGACTCTGACTCTGAGAGTGATGAGCATGATGGATGACAATGGCACGTCTCCTAGATACCACCTAGTCTGTGTGGGGTCTCTGCAGAGATATTGTGGTGTATTATGGAACAGCCAGGGGAAGGATTTTGCTGATAGAGGTGTTTGGCTCTCTGGATTTCCCTCTGCCTACATAAACCTCTTTGCTCCTGGTATGTAGTCCCTTGGGAAGGGCCAACACCTTGGACATTGTGGTTGGCTTGCTTCAGGGACGCTGACGGCTGTTTGTGTTCAGGGTGCATGAGCAACATTTAGAGGCCGGCTGGATCAGGGTGTTAGGCTGATGTGGAGCAGGCATGCAGGAATGCCGTGTTAGCTAGAAGATCAGGCACCTCCCTCCTGTGCAAGTCTTGCTTTGTTTCTTCAGGTGGCAGTGATAAGCAGTCTCTCTCTTTCCCACAGCACCCGAAGCAGAAGATAGCTCAGGCTGGGGCTTGTCTCATATGTGGCCTTAGTAGTATCAGGCCTTTGCTGCAGGGTGCTGCAGGGTGCTTCCAGGCAACACCTAGCCCCTGGAGGACAGGGTGATGGCACGCTCTACCTATGCTCTTGGATCATACTTTTCTCTAGTAGTGTGGCATCCTTGGCTCTGTCCTGAGTAAGTTTGAAAGACATGCCTGCAGATAAAACCTGCCTGTGGCCTGTATATCAGTTGATAGGATTTGTTTGTTGATTGTAGAGTTGCCTGTGGCTAACGTGGGATTTTCTGTCCTCTGACTATCCTTTCCTGTTAGTCCAGACAACAGATGATCCAGGAAGCAGTCAGTACCTTCACATTATGAACTTCTGCTGCTATATGCCTCGGAAACACATTTTCAAAGAAAATTATGACTAAAGGAAACATGGAAAGAAGGAGCGCTTTGAGGGTGCTTTTGTTAGAAATCTACTATGCAGTTTTACAGAAATACTAGTCACTGGGAACAAATATAGTGAATATATGTGAATTATGTGAACAAAATATATGTGTCAGACTGTTTGGGAAGGTATGGAAGGCCACCGTACTAGATAGTATTTTTTTCAACGAAGCCAACCCTGTAAAGTCTGTCCTCTGTGTCTTTGATGATGTCATCTTGGTACCCACTGTAGAAAAAGGGTTCTTAGGTCCTTGTCTAGAGGCAGGGCTCCCAGTGACTGCTCTGACCAATGGCAGGGCAAAAGTGAAGCCTGAGGACTCCTAGGGCTGGTGATGGAAGACTTCTCAGGTGTAATGAAGGCAGGCCACACTCAGGGCCTTGTGGGGATGCTGTGGACCCATGGGTGGGATGGCTAGGCCCTCTCTACATCAGACAGTGCTGCTATGCCCTGCTGTCCAGGGGCCAGATGTTGGGAGTGATGCAGCTGCCTGTGCTGACTTCCTGTTGAGCTTAAGGTCCTTAGCGTGACAAGGAGTTGTTTTTAGGCTAAAATACCTTCACATGTCCTGCAAATAATGTATAATTTCAAGGAAATTTTAAAGAAACCATTAAAGGCATTTCCCCAGTATTTAACAGTCTAACACTGAAAGTGCTATGGAGAAGCAGAGTGCAAAGAACAGGGAAAGTGACCCTTAGGAGAAATGAGTGTGGTTCCCACTAATACGGTTCCAAAGAGTAATGAGGTGCCATTCCTGCCAGCCGGGCCACAGGCCCCCAGTAGTGGGAACAGCTTGTGTGGGCTGGTGCGGACACAGGGTAGAGAGTGGGGTGCGGGGGCAGGCTGTTTCCCTGCTTCCTGTGGTGCATGACATCAGAGCAGGACACGGGGCTTCCTGAGTTAGAAGGATGGAGTTACATTCTTCCCTTACTCCCCTCATGTCACAACAAGTTTGAGACTAAGATATGAGAGAATATCTGTATAACTTTGGGATAGGAAGAGATTTCTTTTAAAAGAGGCAAAGTAGAAGCACGTTCATAACAGCTAAATCTTTGAAGCAGCCTCTGTGTCCAGCAACAGATGAATGGGTAAAGAGAATGCATTTGCACACAGTGGGGTATGATTCTGCCATAAAGGAAGATAAACGAGTCATTTGTAGGAAAATAAGACCATAATAATGTTGAATGAGGTAAAGAGGGCAAACAAGCTTAAGAATCACATGGTGCTACTAGAAACCCAAATTATAAATTATAAATCCAAATTATAAATAAAGAGTAAAAGAAAAAGTAGCAGCAAGTAGGGAGATAGGTAGGGAACGGGAGCGAGGGGAAAGGAAGGAGCTGAAAGAAGGAATGGAGATGAGCGGCGCACATGTCCTGACTCCCCACAGGAATGTGGCCGCTGGGTGCTGTGGACGCGTACTGACTTAACGGGGGCCTCAGGTGATCTATTAGACTAACCACATTGTTTATAAAATGGTACTCTGAACAAGCCACGTTGAGAAAATTAATAGCAGCACACTTTACTGGCAGAAATTGATATTAAATATGTCAGGCATTTCTGCAAGTTGTTAAGCAGAAAGGTGTGCTAGCTGGAAGAGTGACTGATCCCGAGAGAAGGGCAGGTGGAGTGCATGGGGCGCCTGCAGGCCGTGTGGCTGCCTCCTCTGTGTGGCTGCCCTGAGAGCCCCCAGGTAGGGCTCGCTGTGTTCTTGGCCCTCAGTGTAGCTGCCCGGGCTAGTTCCCTTCCCTGTGCGATGCTCACCTGCCTCATTAGTATTTGTGCTTTAATCAAGTGAGTTATACTTTAAGATTGAAAAGTGGAAAAAAGTGCTATTTTTACCAGTTCATTTACTGCTTTTGGTGCTTTTCTACTCATGTGAATTCTGTTTTTTATCTGGATCATTTTCCTTTGGCCAGAAAACTTTCCTTAACGTTTATTTTAGCACAAGTCAGCTGCTGTTGATTCTCTCAGCTTTCATTTGTCTGAAAAAGGTCTTTGTCTTCATTTTTGAAAGACACATTTGTTGGAAATAGAATTGTAGCTTGTCAGTTTTTCCCTCACTACTTTAAGGACGCCATATCATGGTCTTCTGTGTTACATTGTTTCTGATGAGAATTTGGTCATTGTTCCTATCTCAATTTTCTTGTATATAATGTGCTTCCCCCCACCCCAGCTGCTAGATTTTTGTCTTTGTAGCTGGTTTGTAGCAACTTGATTATGTGCTCTTTGGTTTGATTTTATTTTCAACCTGTGGGTTTATTGGAAATGATTTGTCTTTTCTTTCTTTAAATGCTGTTCTCCGCTCCTGTAGTGGGTCTGTAAGTCCCTGACCTCTTCTTAGGCAGACTTAATCTACTATTAAATCCGTCCAAGGTGTTTATTTCTAGTGCTGTATATTTAAGCTCCAAGTTTCCTTTGTGGTTTTTAGGCCTGTCTATCTTCATTTCATTCATGAAGTCTTAAGACTCTGATCATATTTATGATTGCTCTTCTGATATTCTTTCAGATAATTCTATCATGTCTGTCCTTCCTGGCTCTGGTTCTGTTTATAGTCTTTTTTTGGAATGATCCTGGGCCACAAATTGATCTCTTTGCATGTCGAGTAATTGTGAGGTGGTCCAGATAGGACACAAGTTAGTTCAGTGTTGAGCCTTGTTGTTCTTCCTCAGAGCGCTTTGGTGCCATGTTTGCCAGGAACTGGGTGCCTGCGGGTTCCCTGGTGTCCACCAGGTTCACCACCATGTCTGTCCTTGCTGACTCACACGCTGTTGGAGCTCGGGCCTACCTCCTGCTTTCTCCCTTGCTTCCTGCCTCCAGTTGAAAGGGCAGCCTCTCACCTTTCCATTCATGGGTCCTTGTGTATGCAGTGCTTCCTCTTTGGGGAAGACCAAATTGTCATTTACTTAAGATTTGTGAAACATGAGAAGGAGAAGGGCAGTGGGGCTACATGCTGATGGATGATGGGAAAGCTGTGACAGCTGTCACCACCCACACCTTGGTCTGCAAGGAGCAAGCAAAGGCAGGACTAGGTAAGCTCTGGCTGTGTTTGTGAATGAAGGCTCCTCACCTGTCAGATCTCATTTCTTATTCAGATCAAACATGAGGGCCAGGACATTGCACTGACTTTGGAATCATGCTTCCTATGGCTAGTGGCCTTGTGCAAGTTCTCAGGCTCCCTACTTCAGTGTATCTATTCCTGGAGGCCTCAGAGTCCTCGAGGGTTGTGTGGAGACCAGGGCTCAGAGTCTGAGCCAAGTGGCCTGTGCCATATGTACCTGGAATACGCAGTGGGTCTCAGTTTCTCATGTAGCTGGCATCTTGCTTCTTCTTTCCCTTCCTGTGTCCCACAGTTGGTTGGTGTTGGCTTCAGGGTGTCTTGGTCACATTCCCATTATTCTGACACAATACCCAAACAGCATCTACTTAAAAGAAGAGAGGTTTAGTTTGACTCATGGTTCAGTCCAGAGTTGGCTGGCTCCAAGGCAGACACAGGATGGCAGAGGAGCATGGCCAAGGAAAAGGTACTCAACCCATGGCAGCCCGGAAACAGAGAAAGCAAGCCAGGGAGGGAGGTGTTCCCTTCCAGCCAACCCCCGACCTCTTGACTGGGCCCCACTTCCTATAGCACATTTGGCTACGAACTTATCAGTGGACTAATCCACCAATAAATATAGCATCCCCCATGATTTAATCACCTCTTAAAAGCCCTGCCTCTGAACACATGAGCCTTTGGGGGACATTTTAGATCTAATCCATAATATGTGGTGATATAAAAAATTTGGCATTTGACTCACATCCTTGTACCTTGTAAGCACACCTGTAAAATGGTGAGATGTCAGTGTGCTTTTGCTTACTCAGCTTTCTTTTGTCTTTCTAGGGAACTACTATCAAGTGATGCAATGAAAGAATACAACAGGGCTCGAGTCTACCTGGACGAAAACTACAAATCACAGGAGCATTTTACAGTGAGTCCTCTTCTGTTCAGTGGTGTCAGAGCTAGGCAAGGGAAACCTCTATGACACTGAGTCTTGCTCTTAAGAGTTGGTCTGCACGCTCTCTGTTACTAGCACAATATGATTGGCCAGAATTAAAATGCTACCACATCTTGCAGTCTGTTGGGTAGGCTGTTGGGTAGTCCTGATGGGCTGGTAGGAATGGTGGCTGAGACACAAATGAGCATCTCAGGGGTGCTCCAGGGCAGGCCTTGTTTGTTGCCTTATTAACGTTGGTACTAGAAAAGCCCAAGTATGAACTTGGATGTGGATAGTGATGAATTAGAGGCTCTTGACCTTAAGGTATGTGAAATAAGAGGGAGCATTCAGTAGCTCTGGAATTGTAGAGTTGACTGTTTGAATTGAAACTCTGATGTCGTGTTTAGCTCCCTTTTGTGACCCTAAGCTGCCCTCAAGGCCAAGTCTGCTTCCTAGAAGGGCTGTCTTAGGAGATAGCACAGAGGAGTAGAGCAGAGCATCTGTGGAGGTGGGCAAGATCTGAGTCTTGGATAGGATGGTGGCTCCCATAAGGTGCAGGAAGCTTGGGGATATGAAGTGGAGGAAGGGAGCTACTTGGGAGGTTTTGAATAATCAGTTGTTGATTCAGTGATTAACTTCTCAACCCCTGTCTCTGGGGAAGCTTGAGGCCTTCTTGGATTGGTTGTAGTTTTCTCTGTTTTATGTCTCCATGTCCTTCACCTCAACCTGTTGTGTCGCCACATTTAGAGCTTGTCTCAGTTACTCGTCTCTCCCTGTTGGGACAAAATGTCCAATACCCAAAATTTAAGGAAGAGGGAAGGGGAGATAGCTCAGTAGCCGCAAAAAAAGAAAAAAAAAAGGAAGGAAAGGTTTATTTAGCTCACAGTTAGTGGAGGCTTCAGTCCATACTCAGCTGGCTCCAAGGTGTGGTGGCACAGAGCAGCTGTTCAGGGTGGCAGCATAGAGCAAGGAGCAAAAGGGAGCCGCAGCAGCTGTGGCAGCCAGCTAGCCTCTCTCTCCTCCTTACATGGTAATGCAGATTACCCACCCCAGGGCCAGGGTGTGGCGCTCACACCTGCAGTCCCAACATTGGATTAAGAATCAATCACCGTATAAGAAGTAAAGCCATATTAATATGCTGAGCTGTAAAAGGCTCAAGTCAACAACTTCTGACATTGCCAGTTCTGCAGATAACCCACTACTGTTTTGGACTATATTGGATTATTTTGCTGAATTCACACACCTACAGTATTTGAATGGCAATGGAATACCCATCTCTGACGAAACGAAGCAAACAAGGAGGATATAAATGAAGGACCATTTTGTAATGAAAAAAATATAAATATCTGTATATACAAAATAGGATAGATATACAGCTAATTTCTCTTAGTTCAGTGAGAAGAAAGATTTGTACTAATAGTGTTGTTCAGAGAAGATATCATGTCTATATCTTGTGCTATGAACAGCTACTATGAAGACAATATGCAATGTATTAATTATTGTAACTGTCCTACTAACCTGTTTTGAAACTGTATCATTGCTATTTCTTTCTCAATAAAATAATTAAAAATAAATAAATAGCAAAAAACTTACTCCAGTTGTTAAATTGTTTAGCTAATTGCAATAATGATGCCCTTGAGACCAATATTAAATTATAATTGTAATGGTAAGGATATGTAACTAATTGATTTTTATTAAAATGAAGTTTACATTTCATTTAAAAAAAAAAAGAATCGTGAACTCCAGATGCTGCCCCATGACTGCATGAGGCTTTGGGGGGACAACTAGGCACAAACCGAAACAGAGCTACTTGCTTATCTTTCTATTTTGTGACGGGGAGTTCTTGTAGGCCCTGTTGGTCCTTGTCCTTCAGTTCATCCCCTGTCCTGGGAGCTTGCTTCAGGCAGATGGTTGTTTGTTCCCTCCTGGAGGGACATTGCTTGAGTACTGGGGATAGGTGGGACAGAGATATACCTGCCTCCCCTTGGGATGTGACTTTGGGATTCTACTGGGATTAAAGAACCATCTGTGAACGTGTCAGTCTGTGGATTTGGGGCATTTGGTGCCAGGGAGGTAATGTCTTTTCATTTCTGAGATCAGCACGTAACTGAAGACTCCTAGCATCTGGTGTGAGTGAGCCTGAGGGATCCATGCCCTTGCCCTTTGCAGCAACCCCAGACCCTTATCCACACCTGCCTTCCACCACATGGAGAGGCAGCCTTTCTTTCTCTGGGGAGCCCCAGTTCTTCAGTACTCATGATGCAGCCCCTCATCTGCCTGCCTCTCTCTGCCTGCCTGCCTGCTTCCCTGCTTGCCTCTCTCTCCCTGTCTCCCTCTCTGCCTCTCCCCTTCTCCCCCTCCCCCTCTCTCCCTCTCCCCCTCTCC